GGCTCTGGGCTAAGTTGGGGACAGGACCAAAAATGCTGATTAGATTCTTTCCCTAGAACTGGCTAATCCCCAGAGAAACCCGCTATGTGGAGCTGTATGTGATCACAGACAGCCGAGAGGTATGGGATGCAAGGGCTGAGGGGCTGGATGAGCTGGGATGAGGTTGCCAGGCCCCAGCCTAAAGATCCTCTGTTTCCAGTTCCAGAAGTTGGGGAGCAGAGAGGCCGTGCGCCAGCGAGTGCTGGAGGTAGTAAACCATGTGGACAAGGTGGGTCGCCCCAAGGACACTAACACTTGAAGAGAAGTGCAGCTGTTTAGGGTGGAAAGGGCAAGATAGCCAGTCAAGAGGGGAACTAGTTCAGGGCTCTGTACTGAGCTCAGTACCTGGCCAGCACCTAGACTCGGTACCTCCCAGTGATGAAATGGATGTAATGCTCCTATCCATCCCCACCCCTGGCCTGACCCTGTGGGGGGACTTCTCATCCTCTGCAGCTTTATCAGGAACTCAATTTCCGTGTGGTCTTGGTGGGCCTGGAGATCTGGAGATGGGACAAGTTCTCCATCAGCCCCAGTGCCGATGATACATTGGAGAACTTCTTGAACTGGAGGGAACAGAATTTGCTAGGGCAGCACCCACATGACAATGTGCAACTTATCACGTGAGTGGGGGCACACACCCATCCACCACAATGAGACAAAGCCAAGACTCTAGAGCCAAGCTCTGTACAGCCTGGCCTTGAGGGCAGGACACTTGAGCAGAGCTGTGTAGGGATGAGGAGGGGCCAGGAACCATGTCCAAAGTATTACATGCCATGTCTGCTTCTAGGGGGGTTGATTTCACCGGGACCACCGTTGGACTGGCTAAGGTGTCTGCCATGTGTTCCCGGCACTCAGGAGCTGTGAACCAGGTAAAAGGAATTCTCTCTTACCCAAGTTTTCCAAGCTGTCTGGTGGCTGAACAGTCAAACATAGAGCCTAAGTTGTGGGTAGAAGTGTCAGTCCGGGTCCCTACGACACCATCAAGCAGTCACCTACTCCGGGGATGGATTTGGAACCTGGTTTTTTGTTGGGGTATTAGCAGGAAGCAGTATCATGCCTATTGGCACCTAGGGTGGCAGAGGGCATGTGGGTAGATGGTAGCAAGAGAGCACTAATGAACATATCCTCATAGGACCACCTCAGGAACCCCATTGGTGTAGCATCCACCATGGCCCATGAGATGGGCCACAACTTGGGCATGACCCATGATGAAAACATCCATGGCTGCTATTGTCCTATACCACGGGAGGCTGGTGGCTGCATCATGACTGCAAACTTTGGGTAAGGTCTCGAGGGACATGTTGGGTGGGAAGGGAGAGACTGGCATGTGGAACTTCCTAATGGTGACATCCCTTGCCCTTAGCTCCGAGTTCCCCAAGAAATTCAGCAGGTGTAGCCAGGTTGACCTAGAGTCATTCGTGATGAAGCCCCAGACAGGCTGCCTGACCAATGCCCCAGATGTCAACCGGTTCGTGAGTGGCCCCGTGTGTGGAAACGGATTTTTAGAGCATGGAGAACAGTGCGACTGTGGTGCACCTCAGGTTTGTCTTATCCTATCCCTGCCCCTTGCTGGTCAGCTTCAGCATTAGTGTAGGGACCTCAACCTCAGGTCCTTTTGCTTAGGTTAGCCTCAGGCCTGATGTTATGTGCCCACACCACATGTGGACCTTGGGATCACCAGTTACCTCATTTCCTTTTGAGCCCCTAATAACCTATAAAGGAGTTGGAGATAAATTGGATGCAGCCCCTTGCCCAGTGATCACCAAATGCTAATCTACCCTGGAGCCAGGTCTGGCTAGGATGTAGCTGCTCAAACTGTTGTCCTTCTAGGACTGTAAGAACCCCTGCTGCAATGCTACCACTTGCCAGCTGGTCAAGGGGGCAGAGTGTGCCTCCGGTGCCTGCTGTCATAAGTGCAAGGTAAGTTGAACTCCACCCAGGATCTGCCCCAGTCAAACAAAGGGCAATGGGATACCTGTGAAAGCATCATGTGAGCCTGTCCCACAGTAAGCTTCTCTCGGACCAGGTGAAGCCAGCTGGTGAGCTGTGTCGTCCTATGAAGGACAGATGTGACCTAGAGGAGTTCTGTGATGGCCAGAGGCCAGCATGCCCTGAAGATGCTTTCCAACAGAATGGCACACCCTGCCCAGGGGGCTACTGCTTTGATGGGAAATGCCCCACACTGACACAGCAGTGCCAGGATCTGTGGGGGCCAGGTGAGGCAGGCATGAGCATAAGATGGGGGCCAGCTTGTGGAGTGTCTATGACCTAAACCAAGCTAACTTCTGGCCCTACAGGTGCCCGGGCTGCATCAGACTCCTGTTTTACCTTTAGCATCCCTCGGGGCTGCAGTGGCAGTCTGTACCCTGACAGGTAAATATCAAGGCCAAACTGTTGGGAACTGGATGTGGTATGTCTTCAATGGCAAGGCTGGTCCACAGAGAATTCCCCACAGAGGAGGCCTGCTCTACGAGGCAGGTGACTCTCCTGGAGTCTGCCCTCCTTCAGGTTATCAACCTGAACCTATCATCTTTGAAGAAGGAGAGGTCCTGGGACCATCTCCTGCAGCACCCAGGCCCCTGAGCGCACAACCAGGATACCTGTAACCACAGCCTGCCCTCTCTCTACAGGATGAACCGATGTGGGGTGCTGTACTGTGAGGGAGGCCAGAAGCCCCTTGAACGTTCCTCCTGCACTTTCCCCTCCGGATATGGAGTTTGCCAAGCCCTCTCCACAGACAGCAACACTGGCACCTATGAGTTAGTACTCCAGGGCATCAAGTGCGAGGAGGGGAAGGTGAGCTGATAGGCACTTGAAAGCTATCCAGGGCTATTGAAGATCAAATGTGCCCATATGAGTCTCTGATAATGTCCTATACAGACAATGTTGGCTGGTGGAGGCATGTGCATGGAGCCTCTATTATGCCCTAGTCAAATCTGAGAAGAGAGCCAGGCAAGTGGAGACACCTGTCTAGAGACCACCATACCCAAAGTGTCCCCAGGTTCAGCCAGTTCAGTACCACCCTCATGACTGAGCCCCCCGACACACACACACACACACACACACACACACACACACACACACACACACACACAAGTGTGAGGATATGGTCATCCTGGAGTATGAACACACTAGCTGTCCTGGACTTACCTTTGGGTTTGAGGATAATGGGGTGGAGATTGGGTCTAGGTCAGCTACCCAAGACCCCCTTCCACCTTCCAGGTTTGCATGAATGGACACTGCCAGGACCTCCGTGTATATGGACCTGAGAACTGCTCTGCTAAGTGCAACAACCATGGGGTATGTGTGGCCTTGGACCTTAGGGCATGGTATACCCACTGTCTGGTGCCCTCAAGCTAGGTGACTGCCACCACTTACTTGTCTGATGGAATTGTGGCAGAGATAGCTGTAGCCATAACAATGTGGGCTCAGACTAGCCTATATCCTTCTGATAGAGGCATCAACAAGGCCTCTCTGGGGCTGAGATAGGACAGGTGCCCTCCACTGAGCTTGTGACCAATGGACAGTGTGGTCACTAGGAGACTCCTTATATGCCTAAGACTGACATATGTGGGTGGATGGAGGGGAACCCTATATGTGCTGCAACCTGCCCTGCTGCCCTGTGGGGTACCTGTCCTTGAGGCCCAGCTTTCCCTCTAGGTATGCAACCACAAGAGGGAGTGCCACTGCGATGCGGGTTGGGCCCCACCCCACTGTGCACAGAGGCTGGCAGATATACCAGGTAAACAAGCAGGTAAGTTCCTGAGCACCACAACAGCTGGTATTTGTGGAGTGCTGTTGTTGGTTTTTTGTTTGTTTGTTTGTTTTGTTTTTATCTTTTAGGGGCTCACCACCTATCACACACAGAGGCTTATTCATAATTATAAATGTCTGGCCTTAGCTTGGCTTGTTTCTAGCCAGCTTTTCTTAACTTATCCCATCTACCTTTTGCCTCTGGCCTTTTTCCTTTTCTATTCCTGTATAACCTTCTTTGTTTCTTACTCTGTAGCTTGCTGTGTAGCTCAGTAGCTGACCCCTGGAGTCATCCTCCTTCTCTGGCTCCTTCTTTTCTCCTTCCAGATTTCTCCTTCTATATATTCTCTCTTTCTGCCAGCCCCACCTATTGGCCATTCCTGCCTTGCTATTGGCCATTCAGTTCTTTATTAGACCATCAGGTGTTTTAGACAAAGTAACACAGCTTCACAGAGTTAAACAAATGCAACATAAACAAAAGTAATACACCTTGAAATAATATTCTACAGCATATGTCCTGCTCAAAACAAGGCTAGATAACCTTGGCTCAGGCATCAAGGGCCACTCCGCACAACCCCCACAGTGTCTTCCTCCCCAGTGGTCACTGAGCCTATGACTGTCCACAACTCCACAGCCTCAGGGGACTGACTAGGCCTCAGTGGTGGTACTGTGGGGCAGGGAATCACCACTACAACATCTTCTAAACCATTGCCAGAGAGTTGGAAGAGCTAGTGTAATGTACTGGGCCCTCTGCTGGAGTCCTCAGGCACTTGACCATATGTGGGGTGTGGGACCTAGGACATGGTCAAGGGGGACTGGTCCTTGGGCCAGTATCTCTCAAGGGCCCTCCCCAGCTCTTGATTCAACTGGTCCCAGTCCTGGATGATCATGTGACCATATGTCCCACAGCATCTGGAAGCTTTCCAGTCGGTGTGGTGGTATTCCTGGTGATCCTGCTGGCTGTGATGGTCATCCTGGCAGGTGTCATCATCTACCGAAAGGCCCAGAGCCACGTCCAGAGGAGGTGAGGACATGGCAGTTGTGACATGTCTACATATAAGACACATACTTCCTGTACTCAGCACTTGGGAAATGGCTTTGCTGCTACTTAAGAAAGAAAAACTGGGTTGGGGATTTAGCTCAGTGGTAGAGCACTTGCCTAGCAAGCGCAAGGTCCTGGGTTCGGTCCTCAGCTCCAAAAAAAAAAAAAAAAAAAAAAAAAAAGAAAGAAAGAAAGAAAAACCATTGCCTCCATCAGCAGGCCTAGGCAGAGGCATTCAAGGGGTCTTGGGATTCTCCAGGTATTGGACAGGCCTGGGTGGGAAGCTCAGGAGATTCCTAGGATCTCTGTTTCTTCTTCTTAGTGGCTGTAAAGGGACAGTGTGGGCAACAAATGGGGTATGATAAGTCCAGAATTGAGATAACCTGCCCACTCCTAGCCAGGCTACATATGCCCCACCAGGTTCCCACTGTGCCCTGCACCAAGACCTTGACCCCCAAGCTGACTGCCAAAGGACAGCTTTTCCAAGGGCCACCAAGCATCTCCCTGTCAAGAGACTTGCTCCTTGGCATCCTGGGCTCACACATGTGCCTGTGACTACAGCTTGCATCCTGTGTAGGGTGTACCAGGGCAGAGATGCCAGCCTGAGTTGGGGTTGGAGGTAGGGGGCATGCCCAGGAGTCCTTGATTCTCTGCCTGGAAGTGACTACACCGTTGTTTGTCTCTTTTTCTCCTCAGGAGTGTGGCACCCAAGCCCACCACAGGGCTCTGCAACCCCCTGTTCTACACAGGGGACAGCAGTCTGCCAGATAAGAGCAGGCCTCCAGGCCCTCCAGAGGTGGTTTCGACCAACCAGCCCCTGAGACCCACAGTGACACCAAAGAGGCCACCCCCTGCAGTAAGTGCTGTCCTTTGACAGGTTCATGGGGCTGAAATGAGGGGAACTATAGCACGAATTCTAATTGGTCTTAATAATAAAAACCCGGAGCCAGATATTGGGGTAAATGCTGAAAGATCAGAAAGACAAAGAATCAAGCCACAGCTACCTCTCACCTTTCCAACTCTTCAGCTGAAATGGGGCAAGCTCCCACATCTATGAATCCTCAGATTGAATGGTTGAGGTCCTGTTTCCACCCACCTTATATTACTGTCTCCACCTCCCTAATGCTGGGATTAAAAAGGTGTGAGCTACCACCACCACTTCACTCTGTTTCTCTTTTAGACAGATTCAATTTCATGTAGCCCAGGGTAGCCTTGAACTCCTGTTCTTCCTGCTTCCTCCTCCCCAGTGCTAGAATTAAAGGTGTGGGCCACCACTGTCTGGCCTCTATGGTAACTAGTGGCTGGCTCTGCCCTCTGAACTTCAGGTAAGATTTATTTGTTAGAGCATACACAAAATATTATATTCCCCCTTTTTTGTCTAAAATAAACAAGGTTATAACTAATATAAGAAAAACTATATAAGTACACTAATATACAGGCAATAATTACATCAATAATGTCTAATCCACTAAAATTTGACAAATTCAGAGAAAATACTCCATTATTTATCCTAGTTTGGTGAGTCCAAAGTGTTGTACCTAATTCATTTTTCTATCCTAACTTGTATTACCAACTGAAAACTATCTTTTCATGTCTCTCAAACTTACACACTTTACACTTCTTTATTGAATTTCTTATCTGAATTTGTTAACATGGAAGACTATAAATATAACTATCTAGTCTTCAACTCCATCAGAGACCCAAGAAGGAAATAATATTATCTAAGTAAACAGGAAGTGCAAGCAACTTCAAAAAAAATGTGAGAAATGATAGAAACAGCTGGCTGCCTGGACAGTCACTCAAGGTTCCTCTGCAACATTGGGGCATCCATCTTCAACTTACAGGCTTAGCATATCTGACAGACTTATTTGTGAAGCAGGGTTTTCTGAAGGGTTGTCTTACCTTGTCTTGGCAAAGTTCAGCAGTCCTTTATTTGTGTCCTGCTTGTCCATTTTGGACAGCATACTTTCAACAGTTGAGGCAAGGGCATTTTCTTGCTCAGTGGCTAATTTGCCACAAAGAAAGTAAACTCCATATGGAGTTTCTTCGATGCCCATCATCTTCTCCGAAAAAGATTGGTACTGACATGAGCAGACATGTCTCCTTGTCATAAAAATAAAAAGAACCTATGTTATTAAAACATCTTAAATGTCATATTCTGTAGATCTCTGAAGTGTTGATCTGGCTATCTAAAATATATCTGTTTGACTTTGAAAACATTTTTATTTATTGATTTTATTTATTACTTGAAAACAAGTTTGATTGTAATAGATGACTAACTACTAACCTTCATTTCTTTATTATCCTAAATAGTTTGTAATAATAACTTTCAAGGACTAGCAATTTGCATTACATTGTTAAATGAGATGTATAGGTACAATGCCTTGAATGAGAGTAGAAATGTATGTACAGTATGTTCTAACAAAATTAATCTCAAACTTCTATCAGTATACACAATCTGTGTACAATATACAAAAATCCAATCCAATGTAAAACATTTATAACTAGTAATTGCTTTTTAAAAGTAGATTCAATAATCTACCTTTTTATCTTATCATATCCATATTCCCCTTTTTTCTTTTCAGAATAGATTCAATAATCTACCCTTTTATCATTTCTATATCTTTTTTTTCAGAGTGGATTCAATAATTACTCTTTTCCCTATCATATCTCTATTCCCTTATTTTTTTTTCAAACAAGAACACTGAATATAATCTTCTTTGTTCAACTTTTTTCCTGACCATTACCAACAACTTGTAACCAACAACCCTAAACAATGACAAACATCCATAACCCACTGAGTGACCAAAAGCCACGTACCACACCTCTTGGGAATGTGGGCATCATATTCTTAAATTTACTTCCTGCTGTCTGGGGGCAAAGGCATCTTTAGGGGACCCTAAAAAGAAAAATAATTGGGTTAATTGTCAAGTCCTGGGAGAGGTAGCTGTATCATTTGTTGTTCAGTCTATGCAAAATGGGAAAATGCAGGGCTTGTCTCAAGTCCTGGAGGCTGGATCATATCAGCTAGACACCTGAAAACTGTCCTGAGCAGTTGCAGTTCAATGCTGATCTTTGGGTGGTGTTTGTCAACTTAGTGGTGTTGTTGTCTTGGTGGAATCAGCATTGTGGGGCCCCATCATCTTTTTGGAGACTTCAAAGGTCTCTGTTAGGTGTGGTCATGGTTCATTGCAGAAAACTTAAACATTTTAAATGTCATATGCTGTAAATCTAAAAAAGGGTTTTAATTGCTCTAGGAAGGAGTTTCCTCCACAATGACAGGAAACAACTGAACTAAATTTGATCCAGGGCCTGGAAGAGGCCCCCCCAAGGTGTTTCCCTAAGGCAAAGGGTTACCTTGTCTGTCCCTTGTTGATCCACATTCATTAGTCCAATGCCTGCCTTTGCCACACCTTCTACATAACCCAGAAGGGAGGGATGTTCTGTTGGGATTATTTTTAGCAAAAACATTGTTTCTAGGAACACCCTGTTTATAATCTTCTTTTAGGTAACCTTGTTTACCACAATTGAAACACTTGACATTTTGATTTTTCTTCAAACCTCTGGAAATCACCTCTCCTATCCAAGCATCACCGTAGTTATGAGATTCAATATTGACTGTATCTCCAATTCATTCCTCCAAGGCTGTTAATCTTGCCTTTAACAGCCTAATTACTCTTTTGCATTGTGCGTTAGCATTTTCAAAAGCCAGAAATTCAACTATTATTTGTCTAGCTTCTGAATTTGTTATCATTATATTTACTGCTGAAGTCAATCTTTGTAAGAAATCAGTGAAGGTGCCTTTTGGACCCTGTATAACTTTTGTAAATGACTCAATTTTCTTTCCTACTTCTCCAATTCTGCCCCAAGCATTCAAGGCTGCTATGTGGCATAAAGCCAGGGTGTGATCATTATATATACATTGCCTTTCTACAACAGCATAATCTCCCTCTCCAAGAAGTTGGTCTTGGGAGATTACCGTACCTCTGTCCCTACTTTGTTGTTCAATGGTCTTAGCCTCATCTTTCCACCAGGTCCTCCACTGTAACTGAGGACCAGGCTCCAAGACTGCTGTGACGAAGTCTCTCCAGTCTTGAGGGATAATTCTATTACAAGTTGACCACAAGTTTAACATCTGCTTCACAAAAGGTGAATGCATGCCATATAAGACTATCACTTTCTTGAATCTCCTAGAATCTAACATTTGCATAGGAATCCATTCAGCTGTTACACAGCCTTGGGGATATCTGTCATTTGGCAGTTCCTATAAGGTTACTGGATAAATTAAAGTTGGTTGTTTGAAAACCTCAGGCTTTTCCTCTCTAACCTTATAATGCAATGTTGAGATTGGTTCTTCTTTAAATTCCTCTGTCTAAGTCTGAATATCTCTAATATCTGTTTTAGTAAGCTTTTCTAAAACTCTTATTTGGGCACTCATATTAACCAACTTTCTTAATGATAAAACAAAAATGATCAAACAATAATATTTATAATTGACATTACATAAATCCCATCTAAATTAATTATCCTCATTTAATTGTTCCATTTTCAAATTGTCCAGCGTATTATCAAACAGAGTCCCAACTCCCTCCATTGTAATAGTGTTTCCCATTTTTTAACGTGGAAAAAACTCTCTCTTTTAACTAATTCCTCCCTTAAGAATTCCCAGTTGTCTCACCACATCTGCCGATGATGGCGATTCAGATGACAGTGAAGATATGAGGCTGGCTGACGTGTGTAGACCCGGAGAAGCCTGAGCTGCTTTCCAAGGCTGCTACCTAGTTTGGCAGCAGCCTGAGGAGGGAGTCCAGGGACAGCCCACAACCAGGAGAGGGAAGAAGCCAAAGAGCCAGCTGTCTGCACAGTGTGTGCGGGGGTGCGGGTGGGGAATGCAATATGTGCAAAAGTGGCTAACTCCTACAGTTTGGGGAGCCCAGAAGCCTATGGAGTCTGCTGCAGAGAGGCTACAACAGAGAAAAACCCCAGACTCCCTCAGAGGGCTTGGGGAAGAAAAGGAGCGGGGTCGTGACTCTGGCTGAGTGTGACTCTGGCCTGAGCTGGTGGCTGCAAAGCCACAGGCAAGCAGCTTTTTCATGAATCTGTGCCCCACACGTGCACAAAATATCACCACAGGGAGCTCAGGCTCTCCATCCCTCTGCCTCAGGGTGTGGCCCATTAGGGATAGTGAAGGGATCTATTAGGGATAGTGAAGCCTTTTTGTGCAAATTAACTCATGAGCCCTGCAATAGCCTGAATCCTTGAGAAGAATTTCAATCACCCCAAGGGAGGGAGAGGGACTAAGTCAAGACCTAAGGAGTTTGGACTTGTGGGTTTGAGGGCTCTCAGACCTGAGCTGTGAGAGGAGAATGCCCTTGCTCCTCCTTAAGTGTGATAGGTGACAACATAGCTGGGAAATGGGATGGCCACGCATCCAGCTAGGATGAGCAGGAAAGGGTGCACAGAGTGGCAGGGGTTGGGGAGTGTACCATTTAGGAAGTGTAAGAGCCTTGGGTCCTAAAACAGGGGACCTGGTGGGCATGGGTTGAGGGCTTCGCACTGCTTTTTGGGCCCAGGCTCACATCTCTGTCCCTTGAAGCCTCCAGCTGCTGTGTCCTGTCCACCACTCCCAGTTCCAGTTTATGCCCAGCAGGTGCCAGATCTGGTAAGCCTCGGGAAACAGCCATTCGTGTTCTGAGGAGATGGAAACCTCCTGGGAGGTGGGATCTAGTGGCTGACTCTGTGGGCCTGGGGCCCTAGAGAAATTAGCCCTGCCTAGTCAGGATATTAAATTAAACCTAAGGGTAGATTTCAGGTAGCCTAGGAGGGAGGAGGTAATGCTCTATCCCCCAGCCCTGAACTGGTCCAAGTTTGTGGATCCTAATTCTATCTTTTTCCCAGCAGCTTAAACCTGTTCCACCCACCATGCCCCTCCCAAAGCTGAAACCCAAGCAGGTAAGGGGACAGCCTTAACTCTGAGGAGACCATCTCCTCCTGCAAGCCTGTGGCCCTTTGTTCCAGGGACAAGCCATCCCACACTTTCCCTTGGGAGGAAGCTATAAGGATCTGGAAGGTCTCAAAATGCAACTGACTAAAGCTTTGAAAGTAGAGATTCATTCCAGTTCTTTCCCCACCCCCTGCATTGTTGAAGTCATTCCCAGCAGGGCTCCTCACCTCCAGATGAACAGGAATCTCTTTTCTTAGCCCTAAAAGGAGCAGCCTCTTTGGTGTCACTGTGGGTTTAGGGGCTGGTTGGTAGAAACCACCTCTGGAGGGCCTGGAGACCTGCTCTTATCTGGCAGGCTGCTGTCCCCCGTGTAGAATAGGGGGTTGGAGAGCCCTGTGGTGGGCTTGGGTGCCACACTCCTAGGGAAAAAAAAGAGAGAAACAATGATGTAGTCACTTCCAGGCAGAGAATTCAGGACTCCTGGGCATGTTCCAACTTGGAACCCATGGGACAGTGCCCTAGCCCCAGCCCTAGGTGGCTACTCTGGGGTCATGGCTGGGCTGGTGGAAAACCTGTGTGTGGGTGCATGGGTTTGCCTGTCCCAGGGAGCAAATGCAGGGTGGCCACAGGACTGCCACCAACTGGCCCCTGAGCTCTGACATAGGCCTTAACTGCACAGGCCAGCTGCCCACCTGACCTGTGAGACCTAAAGAGTATCTGTTCCTTGCTCTGCCCGAGGCCTTGTTGAGAACCTTATCTGCCCTTCTGGGCACTTGTGGCTCTCAAGTGGCTTTCAGTCTACATTTCCTATGTTGAAAGTGCTAGTTCACAGTTTTCTGAGGGTCCCTCAGTTTGTCCACTTCTTATCTTCTTATTGTAAGTGGATGTGGGTGATACACTTTTAGCAAGAAGAACGTGGAAAGTAACCAAGATGGGATGGGGGTCTGAATGTCAATGAGATCTTTGTTGGGAGCTATCTGTGTGAACTAATGCCTAGAGAAAGAAATGAATGAGTGCCTGGGAGATCGTCTGGAGCCTCTTAGAATTCCACAGCTCCAGAAACTTGGACACTTGGCCTTTAACAATTGTCACTATGTCCTGCTATAGTGGTTGTGTGTTTTCTTCCTTTTTATGTATTTATTATTGTGTGTATGTGTGTGGGGGCATGTATGGCATGGTGCGCATGTGGAGGTCAGAGGACTGCTTTGTGAAGTTGACCTTTGCTTGGTTCTGGGGATCAAGCTTAGGTCAGCAGGCGTGTGCTGCAGGCTCCTTTACTGGATGATCAGTCTCAGTGAACCTTGCGGCTTATTATTATTATTATCATTATTATATCATTATTGTTATTATGATGTGTGTGTGGTAGGCTGTGGTGTGTGCATGCATGCCACAGCATGCAATCAGGATCAGAGGACAACTTTGTGGAACTGGTTCATTCCTTCCACTTTAACACATGTTGTAGAGATTGAACTCAAATGGCCAGGCTTGCACAGCAAGTGCCTTTACCCAGTGAGCCTTGTCACAGGCCCCTGGTTTTTGTTTGTTTGTTTTGATTTTTAAATTGGGTCTCACTCTGTAGCCCAGGTTGGTATGGAACTCACTATGTAGTCCAGGCTGGTCTTTAAACTTATGGCAGTCCTCCTGCTTCAGCCTCTTAAGTATAAATAGGTGTGATTTTCTGTTTTTCTTTTCACAGTTTTTGAGGAGAGGGAGTTTTATTTGTTTGTTTGTTTGTTTTTTGTTTTCTTTTGTTTTTGAGTCAGGGTCTCACTGTGTAACCTTGGCTGGCCTGAAACTCTATATGTAGACCAGGTTGGCCTCAATCAGAGATCCACTTGCCTCAGCCTCTTCAGTGCTGGGATTGAAAATGTGCCTCTCTGCGCCTGGCCAAGGACTAATTTTACACTTACATAAGAGCTGAAAAACTCTAGCCAGGTGGTGGTGGTGCACACCTTTAATCCTAGCACTTGGGAGGCAGAGATAGGCAGATCTCTGAGTTCAAGGCCAACCTGGTCTACAGAGTGAGTCTAGGACAGCCAGGGCTATATAGAAAAACCTTGCCTCAATAAACAAAACAAAACAAAAACAATGAAAGAAAGACAAGAAAGAGGAGGAGGAGAAGGAGGAAGAGGAAGGAAGGAAGGAAGGAAGGAAGGAAGGAAGGAAGGAAGGAAGGAAGGAAGGAAAAGAGAACCCTAGGAGAAGTCCTAAAGGCAAAATGGGGGCAGTGCACAGGGATTTCTGAGCAAGGATTAGAGAAACTGGATGAGGAGGAAGGCCAAAATGTGCCTCACCCAGGAGGACAGCTCAGCAGAGCCTTCAAGATATCCTGACACCTACCAATGCCAGGTTACCATCCTCTCTAGGAATGTGGACATGCAAAGAAATGTGTTGTAGTGGTTAATTCTTTATCTTGAGCTTCTGGTAACGTTGTAGGGTACTGTTGAGACTATGAGATGGGTCAGGACAGCTAGCTAGGAAGAAGAGTGCTGCCAAGTTCAGTTTTTATCTCCTGAGTGGTATGGCCACAGAGGGCTTTCCTACAGAGCTGTGTGAAGACAGAAGCCTCAGAGCTAGGCTGGAGATGAGCAGGACAGCCTTGGGAGGATAAAGCTGAGAGCAGTACTTGGTCCACTGGGAGATGCCCTCCATCAGCTGTGTCTGGTTCCTCCCAGGTCAAGCCAAACTCTGCACCCCCAACACCACCAGTCAAGCCTGGGACTGAAGGGCCCATGCCTGGAGTGACTCAGGTGAGCCCCCATCAGGAGGGGTCTGTCTTGCTGGAACCATCCTGCTGACTGGCATTGCTCTGGAGGCTGGGGTGGGTTGTTGTTGTTGCTGTTGTTAACTGGTAAGTTTTGTTGACATCTGAAAAGAAAGTGGGGAAAGTCCTCAGTAACAGGCTTGATGTCTGCTTTGTAATCTGCCAGAACTTTTCAGTGCTTGCTGCTGTGAGGGGTTGTCCATTTTTCTTTTTCATATGGCAATGAGAAGTCTACACCATATGTGACATATTAATGCAATCGTCTTGTGTGGATGGGGTCATTAATTCTGCTGCTGGGGAAGTGAGAATCTAAATTTAAAGAATTATAAATGGGAATATTTAGCTGTACCTCTTGTAGCAGACCAGATGCTTTTAACATCAATTTCCCTTTTTTTTTTCCCCCGGCAGAGAGCTGGTGGTCCAAAGGTTGCTCTGAAGGTCCCTGTCCAGAAGAGGTGACCAGCTAGGGCACCCCAAGACCACTGTAGGCTTGTGGAAGTTTGGAGATACCAGTGCTCCTGTGGACATGCTCTTTCAGCAACAGCCCTTACTCAGGCTGGACCTGCTGGCGGGGGGTGGGGGTAGTGGTGGTGGGCGCCCAAAACAGCTTGACCACACAGCTGCCATGACAAGCTTACGGGCAGGCAACACCCAGATCCAGGAAAAGCCATAAGCTGATACCACACAGGGATCCCCCCAGTAATGGGCCAGCATCTAAGGGGAAGTACCTGACATCCCAAATATTCCAGCCCTCTCTCCTCTCTCCTTAAATAAGATTAGATAAGATTGACAGATGTCCCTGAGCCTATTTTCTCTTTTTACCAAGATACCCCAATTTCAGCCAATTAGGGTCCTGAACCCTGAAAATCCCCTCACCCCAACCTCTGCTATGATAAAAACCCTACCCTGCCTGGGCTCAGGCTCTGCTCTCACTGCTGTGTCTGACACATAGAGACCAAGCTCGAGCTTGAAATAAAGGCTCTTTGCTTTTATATATGGGATTCGGTCTCCATGGTGGTCTTTTGGCGGTCTCTGGGCATAACACCTGCAATCACTGGTCCTACAGTGATTATTCCTCAG